TAGCTAAGCAAACTTTCACTGCTTTTTTAAGACGTCTGAGTATAACATACATACACTCTGTAAGCTTCAGATTTACAATGCAACCCAAAGGCTCACAAGCAGCACAACTAAGCGTTGGCACCACCATCTGGAAATTATAAATTCGATCCCCGGTGATGCCACAGCCATCTGTGGCCAGGAGTCAAAGAGAGCGTGACTGGCCTTGCTCTGTCTGGATAGGTAGGAAGGTCCTCCTTCTCCCCATCTCTCAGTGATATGCTAGCCGATGTGGATGTCTGTTAGCTTATGTAACAGAATTAGCAGTTAGCATTCTCTCCTGTGTGCTTTGAGCTGTATATTTATGTTGTGTTAGTGGAAGTTCAGAAAGATGTGGTGGCTGATGTGACGTGACTCTGAGGAAGTACATACTAGCCTTCACACTCCCAGCTTGATGTCTTCCTGTGAATGTGGGGTACCTTGCTAGCGGGTGGATTAGCCACAATTAAATTGGGGAGAAAAATGTAAAATAGTGAATGCTGAAAAGAAAAGAATGCTGCTTTAAGTCTACATTCAGGCTAGCTTAGTCCCTCACCTCTTTAGGGGGCTATATAACGTCACTTGAGTTAAAACAGTAATGGAATGGCTTTTAAGCCATTGGGAATCTCTGTGAATTGGGGGGTAAGTCAGCAAGTCAGTGAGGGCAAGTCAGCAAGGGCATGTTGAAAACAGTATGGAAATGGAACAATGGTCTGTAACTACAGTATAGAGTAGCAAGGATTCTACCAAGTATTTTGCTTAAGGGTTTCAAAAGTGGTGCAAACCCAAATATTAGCCCAATGTTATAACAATGCTGAAGACCCTATAGTTAGGATATTATTGTACTCTCAGTGTAATGAATTTGACTTGGCACCCCAGAAAATCCACTTTAATTAAAAATACTAATGTTGCATTCATTTACATGTTGCAGTCACATTCAGAGACAAATGCCCCTAGTTTTCTCTACCTATTAATTTCTAAGTAGTATCAGTAGTATAAGAACTGTCAGGTCTATCCACTGATGTCCTCTGATGTCCACTTCAGTATATTTAAAATGCTAGGTCATTGAGCATCGTTCCCGCATGTCTTATTCTCTCTTTGGTGTGCCCTCTGTAGGACTGCAAATGGAAAATGTACATGGAGCTGGACGGTGATGAAGTTGCCATAACCTATATCAAGGATGTCACCTTTAATGCAAATAGACCAGATGTGGACGTGTTAAAGATGACCAAGGTGCGTTCTAATAGCACCACAGTTACACAGCATGACACTGTATGATGAAATATGGACTTACATATAATAAACACTGATTGTATGCACTCTCAATTCTTTTCAGCCACCATTTGTGATGGACAAGTGGATTGTTGGCATATCTGACAAACAGACTGTTGACTGCATTATAAATTATGAGGTAATGAAAATTCATAAAATCAGCACAAGGCATTTTGAAAAACACATCTCTTCAATTCGCTATGCATGTTGCATGCTTTTCAAATACGTCATACATTATAGTACTACAATGAATGTGGAAGGCGTTCCTCTTTACTTTTACCCAATCTAGAATCACATCCTCCTATACACTTCATGCAAATGAGTTGCTTGTTTTGGCCCTTAGATGTCGCAGGTATCACTGGCGATAGCAAAAACATGTTGCAGTTTTATATTATTATGTCTCACTCGTACCTCATTGAAACAAGTAGAGAAGTTCCGTGGAAAATGCAGAATTTAAACTTTCAATAAATGCCACATTTGTGTTTGTAAGTAGAAGGTGTGACATTTTATTATAAACTGAATCTGATAAAAATTATTGTGTAAACAGTCTTGATTTGTGGAAAGAATAGACATCCTTTTTACATTTTTTAATCTTTTTTTACATTAAAACAAACAGAAAAAGTTGAACGTGTACACTCAAACCTGTCGATTCAGAATGTAAATTGATTGTAAATGGAATTTGTTTTGTAATTAACAAGTAATTGTATGTGTAATTACATGTAAATAATTATGTAGTGTAAATCAAATGCATAGCAAGATGGCAAAAAGACAGGGAGCTTGTCCAGCCAGCTGGACTCATTGTAGTGCAGTTTCCTATCCCACCATGTCCAAACTTCTCTTGGGCACAAGAGGAAGGTTGCAGAGCTCAGTACCTGCTCGTCTCTCACCTTGTGCTTGTTTTGTCTTCAGAGTGATGTCAAGTCTCCAAAGAGCACTAGACATATGCACTTAGTGCAGTGGAGCCCAGCCAGTGGGGGAGACGATATCAAAGCTGTAGAGCTGCTCATAGAGACTGCACCATCAAATGGGGAAGGAAACTACAGGAGTCGCTCCAACTCTGGTAATGGGCTTTACTCTTGGGAACCACTGAAAATTCTGAATGGAAAAAGAACATTCAGTGTTTTCAGTTATGTTTTTTACTTTTATGAATTTTCATGATTCAGATGTGTATGTGATTTCCACATGAATGAGATACGGTACAGAAACACATTTGTCTTCTACTTCACTATTGGCAATAATTGTGTTAATGTATTTGATTCATGTGGAAATGATGTGTACAAATTTGAATCAAGTAGATCAGCACAGCACTGGAGCAACACCATTCCATTTTCAGTTCCAGTCTCCCTTTTTGACACTTTTTCTTTGTTCACAAATTTTGAATGCCAGCTTCCCTTAACTTTGTGTGACCATTTTATGATGAATGCATCTATAGAAATAGAATAAAATTAAATGGAATAAAATCTTGCTAGGTTAACGTGTTAAAAGTCAAGAATATTTTTTTCTTCTCATGTGAAGTTAACATTTTGGAGATACAATTTTTTTGTTCTGGTAACGACAAAATTCAGTATGGCCTAGTTGCATTATAGTAATACAGTGTAGTTAATCTGCTTGACATAGTGTTAAAATGATACTTGCTCTATCGACTATAAAAATGTAAGGGAAAACAGGTACATGTTGACCTGTCCATACGTTGTATTTTATTGGTTTTATTCGTCTTGCTCTGACAGGTATTGACCCTCAGTGGATTTCCAGTCTGAGGTTTAAGCAGATGAAGGAGAACCTAACCCAGGAGCGCAACAATGGCACACCCAACAGCCTCTCAGTCGAATCCATGACCCTCCCGCAGTTTCTGTCTGCCTTTGGGAACCAAACTTCATATGCTTCAGCTGTGCGAAAATCGCCCAATCGCAATCCATTCTCACTGTGGGCCAGCTCCAGAAGCTCTTCACCTACACTCTCTACCAAACTCTCCTCTCTCCACCTGGGATCAAAGGGCAGTAGCCCATCCAGTACGACCTCTGAGAGTGCATCGGAAAGAGATCGCCCTGTTAGTGCAGGAGATATGTACAAGTACCCCAGAAACAACTATCATGGCGGTATGACTGTGCCCGGAGCAGGGGACAGGAAGCTTTCTAAAGTCTCCAACCATATGTCTCAGGGTGCGACTAGAGGATTTCAACACAGTGGACGACCTCGGAACAACAACACTGTGGTACAACAGAACCACCCAAGAATTATACCAGGGATGGCAACGGTGACAGTGGAAAAGCAGAAGAATGAAGCAGAGGAGACCAAAGGCAACGAGGGAGGGTGGATTAAAGTAGAACGCAAAAAGCCTCCCAAGCAAGAGTATAAGCAGCAGGACCAGAGACAGCTCAGAGGCCGTCCACGAAGAGGAGGACGAGGGGCAGGACGTGGGCGGAGCTAGAGGGTTTTATTCTGTATGAGTGGACATTCAAAATGTCCAAGATGAACTGTTTTTATCATAACAAGAGCATTAATCCAAGAAACTCAGATACCGTGGGACACATCATTTACAGAGGGTAGACAAATGAGGAAAAAATATGTGAAAATGGGTCAAACTTAAACTAATGAGAATTATTTTGAAAGAAATTTAGACATGCTACATTTTTTTAATGTAAAAGATTTTTGCAAAACAGATGTTTATTTATTTATTTTTTATTTATTCTGATAGATTTATGCGAACTAAAAATAGACTTGAGTCTGTTGACCCTAAGTGCAAAGGTTCGGCTACAAAATGTGATTTTTAGCATCCAACACCCATCCCTAATTAATGAGTTCAGACAATGATGACAACAGTGCTATCTGGATGTGGATGTGTGTTTAGTATTCATTATGCATCTGCATGTTAGCAAGTAATTAAAAATGGCATTTTTCTGTGAGTGGAAGAAGAACTAATCAGTAAAGGGAATCTTGGCATAAGACTCATGAAGACTTTAGGACAGGGCGAGGAACATCTCCTGATTTGTTGTCTTTTTAACACATTTTCTATACCTGGAAGACCAAAGCCTCCAACCCTCTTGCTGCCAGTTATTCCACACAAAGGATCTTCTTTTTCTGAATAATACTCCAGTAATTTTCATTAGAAATTCTTCAAGAGGTCTGTGATGAAGACAAAAGACAGACTCTAATTAAATTATCTGGGACTTTACATTATTTGACTACCCATTGTAAATTGGTGTGTGGGCCTGTGTCTGATGCACAATAAGCAACCTTAAATGAACTGTGACAAGTTTTATTGTCGAAGGGTTTAAGGGGTTTTATTTTGACATGACCAAGGCAATGTTTTAAAACAAGTTATTGTTAAACTATAAAAATATTTGTTTCAATAAAATAAAGTAAAATAAATAAAATAAAGATTTTAAAAATTGTAGTATGTTTCTGTTTCTGCCACTACAAAGTGAAGGATGTGGGTCACCAGAGCGAATAACGCGCGCTTCACGCCCTCTCATGCAAATAGTTTAAAGCCATTTGGCGCCACGGCTAAAGATCCTGAAAGGAACTTATGTTTAAATTTGCCGTTTTTACCCTACTGATGTGAACTCGGTCGCATCTTATGAGTAGATCATAACTATATAATTGATTTACAGTGAAACGTTATATGACATACGTAATTATATCTAGCGTTAAGTTGACTTATTTAGTATTTTTTAGGCATCTTGCAGGACTTCGCCGTGGCGCGCAGTGTTGCCACGCCTCTCGAAAATTTCCCGCGAACTTCCAGGCTAAGCGCCCTGCAGTAAGGCTTTTCTCCTTCTTACACTCACTGCTGCAGGACAGGACGGGACAAGAGAAGACAAGACAATGCGCACCAAGGTAGGCAAACACGCTCAGTTGTTCCTTTTAGCAGCTAATATTGTTTGTTTGTTTTTTTGTTTTTTGCACAAATGTACAGTTTCCTTTTTAATGTCCTGTAATGTTTTAGCTAGCTTACGTTAGGTTCATTTCTTTTATAGCTAGTTATACTGGGTCTTAGCTTAAGCTGCTGGTTCGTTAAGTAGTTATTGTGCGCCATTTTAATTTTTATTGTGGCTAAAAATTCGAGATTTTGCGCAGCTAAAAGGTTTTCTTATTAAAGTGTTGCTAAGCTCGTTAACTTCGTGAAATGCATGAATGCAACACAGGGAATTTCAGTAACTTTAAACTCAATCATCGAGGCATGTTTCCTTCAGAATTAGCATTGTTTCGGTTTGCTTTAGTGTTGTTTATTGTTGTTTACTCCCTCCCCTTATTTTGTTCGGTAAGGTAGGAAAACTAGGAGAGACATGCCTAATCTGAACAAACTCCTCACAACTTTTTCAACCATTTTTTTTCTTCTCGAAGAAGTAAAGGTGCGTGTTTGTGCTGACTGCTTTGGTGTGGTTTTCCTCCCCCTGCAGAGACAGCAGCCCCCTCCCCCCACCAGAATGAACCTGAGGAGTTATCGAAACTCTTCTCTGGTTCCCATAGAGACCTCCTCCTCCTCATCTTCCTCAGACGACAGCTGCGACAGCTTCGGCTCTGATGGCTTTGCAACTACGGTACAGTAATCTAAGATTAAGAAATCCCACCCTATAACAAACATGCTTCCCCACTTTTAGTGGTTGCCATTGTTCACTAGTAACTAGTAGCAGCATTCCCACCTTTACATTCGCAACAGTGTTTCACGAAGTTCACTGTTGTTTTTTGAAAAGACTCTGAAGTGTACATTTCCCCTCACACAGAAGAGGCCTGTCAGACAAACAAGAAGCTCAGCTAAGACAGGGAAAGTTTTCAAAGCCCCCTCAGTGTCTGAGGAGGAAGCCTGCAGTGGCTTTGAGGAGAATGACTTCAGTAATGAGATGAGTACCATGGTGAGTTGCAGCAAAATTAATTTTACTGTTCATCGTGTACCATTTTTAGTTGGTGTATGCATCACAGCTTTTATCTTTATTGATTCATTCACTTACATTGTCGTCATTTCAGAAAATGGATTCCGACTCGGATTCTTCAGAGTCTTTGAAAAGACCTCGTCGCTCCTTCACTCTTAGAGTGGCCATGAAGTTCCCCGCCAAAAAAGCCAATCAGAAGAAGTCGGCGAGTCCTCGGGCTGCTCCTCAACCCAAAGACCCAGAGTCCGACTCAGATGAGGAGGAGAACTTCGTTGCAAAGAGAGCACTCAATATTAAAGAGAACAAGGCTATGGTAAGCCATTTCCTATACAGCACATAAATTACTTAAGATAATTAAGGTACTGATAACAATAGGAAAGCTTTGCTTTTGAAATGATCATCTAGACATACAGCACACATTACTGTAGAATCATTACAGAATCAATTACATGGTAATTGAAGCTAGTTTGTAAGCAAATATATGAAATAATATTTTACTTTTTCCTTTTTGTAGCTGGCAAAGCTAATGGCAGAGTTGAACAAAGTTCCTGGTCTTATCCCTAGGAGGATGTCTCTACCAATGACTAATACGGTGAGTCACAGAGCAAATACTTACTAAGTACATGTGCATAACAGTGATTTGTGATAAGAACATGTAAAAATGATTTTTGTCCTAGAGATTGAAGGATTTGAGAGAGTTAACTGATATTTAACCAGGTTCTTCCCCTTCTCCCTGTATGTGTAGCCTCGGCGTGTTCCTCGCCGTTCTCTGGGAACACCTGGAGTTCGGAGGAAGAATCCTGAACGTACATCACGGCCTCACACTCGCTCACGTTCACGGGTGGATGGTCCCCCTACTCCTCCTCCTGAAGAAGAGTCTGAGGACAAGTTCAGCCTGGTCCGCAGGAACAGATACAGCGAAGATGATGATTATGAACCAGTAAGATGTTGGGCTTGATGGGAGGGTGGAATCTTGTTTATCCCTGAAGTGTTTTATGTATTTTCTTTGGCTTCTCTGCCAACGTGTTCATATACATAGGCACACAAAGTGTTAAGCTGTTCTGTATTTCACTTAAAATGTTTTTGTCTAGGAGCCGCGCCGACGACGCACCTACACTGGTGTTCTTGCCATCCCCCACGTGATAAGACCTGTGGAAGAAATTACCCAGGCAGAACTGGACAATATCTGCTTCAATGTCAGAGAGAAGGTCTATAACCGCAGCACTGTAAGTTTCCCAGTTGTTTACATCTGAATTTGTGCCACTGCTCTCTGCCCATGTGTCCTCGGTCTGCCCCATGAGGAGCGAGAGTGTTGTTTGTCAGTATGGCCACTGTTTGCAATTTGGTCTGGAATTGCAAAGAAACTGGTCTTAAGGTCTGTCTGTACTGTAGGGTTCCACCTGTCACCAGTGTCGTCAGAAGACAACAGATACCAAGACTAATTGCCGCAACCCAGAATGTGTAGGGGTCAGGGGTCAGTTCTGTGGACCTTGTCTGCGGAACCGTTATGGAGAGGAAGTCCGGGATGCTCTGCTGGACCCGGTGAGTACAGGAAACACTGTTTCTGTCTGTACTTGATGTTGAGTGAGCAGTGCTTTTATACAGCACTTTAAACTGTGCAGACTGACATTTTATGAAAGGTGTGAAATCCGGTACATAATATTTAACCATAGACATGGCACTGATTTACAGGTCAGAAAGATGAATCCCAAAGAAAGACTCAACAACAAAGGCCAAACAGGCCACAAAAATACTGAATTTATTAACCAGACATAGTGCTCAAGTACTATAAAACAAAGTTGGACATTGGAGCCAACATGCTGCAATGAATACACAAATACAAAACATCTTGACTCAGTCTGGGGTGTGGCATATCTTAACATTCAGTGACTAATTGTAAGCAGTTGGAGTAGGTACTCTACAGTTACACAATCATCCAATCACAATCAGTTAAACTTTTTTTTTTTTTTTTAACCATATTTGGTTGATCATTCGTTCATGTCAAAGAGTGTTGGATATGCACATGACTGAGATGTGACTCTCTTGCAGGAGTGGCGCTGCCCCCCATGCAGAGGCATTTGTAACTGCAGCTTCTGCAGGGCCAGAGAGGGCCGTTGTGCTACAGGTGTGCTGGTCTATCTGGCCAAGTACCACGGCTATGACAATGTTCATGCTTACCTGAACAGGTAATGTTTTATTCATTTGATTGTTAGCATGTCATACGTGTTGCACAGAACGCAGAATGATATGTTATACAACAAGTGTTAAAATGGAGTCTTGACATTTATATCCTTTTTTCTGTCTTTAGCCTGAAGAAGGAGTTGGAGGAGACTGAGTGAGGAAAAAACGGCAGCCCCTGTTCAGCCCTGCTGATTTTAATTGACCACTGCCTGTTTTTGGTTCTGTATGTTTTCAGAATTTGAATAGGATGTTTCAGAACTTCATGCAAGTTCACGTGCCTTTTGAGTAGCCAATTGAAAATGGTCTACACAAGTTTTAAAATTTACATTGTTTTAAATGTATAAAGTTACCAAGTTGTTGATTTTTGTTTAGTGGCAGGAAAACTGAAAAACTGTTTTATAATTTTGCTTACATGATTTTGACAGCTTGAGCATGTTTTTAATGTCTCTCAGATCCATAGATTTTTATTCAGCCTTTCATACACTGTAAAAAAATACTGTTTGAATGATATATTTTTTTTACATAGTCTTCCTATGTGTTAAATAAAAGGAGGGAGGCAGAAAATTGAGCAGCAGTCATATAGTGACTTCTCTTTTAAGAAACTGTTCATGAACTTTGTTCAACACTTGTTCTTTCATCCAATAAATGCATTATAGTTTCTAATTTGTGTGCTGTCCCAGTTCATCTTCAGTTTGCCTCTGAAGTAAATTACTGTAAGTTTCCTTTGTGTAATGTAAGGAATCATCTGAAATGCATTTTTTTCTTTTCCACACTTTATAGCCAACATGGCTATTTTTTGCTATTAAATAATATAAACAGTTGGTTTTGGGCTTTTGAGTTGCAAGAAGCTATGCACGTATGTATGTATTTTTTTTTTTAACCTTTATATTATTTGTGTCAGAAAAAATGCTTATAAAAGTGTCCACAAAACATTATTGCATACAAAATAATATAGTGGAGCCCCAATTTTGCTTAAAGCCTGTACATGTTTATTACTGGCTCTATGGGGTTAAATGTAGATGTGCATTTAATATAGGTGTTTCCCCACATTTCTGCTCCTCACATACCTAAACCAGGCTATTAAGAACAGTGACTACCTGGTTCAGGTGTGTGGAGCTGTGAGAGTAGGTGGTTTGGAGGGGTCGTGTGAACTGTTTTAAATAAGCCACTATGAAAAGCCCTATTGGTGCTGGTTGTGCCCCAGCCTGTGTCCTTCAGTGCGTCTGTGTAGTGGGGAGGGCAAATGTTCTCCTGCCCCATCTCCCCTTCTGTCCCGCTTTTACTAGAGCAGTCTGATATACTGCATCGCCTGCTCAGAGCCTTCATTAGAGAACTGCCACTAATGGTGTGGAAATAATTAGCAGACTCTAATGGGAAATCTTATACCTGTAAATCATTTTTCTTATTAAAGCATATTAGTGTGCTCTCTCTCTCTCTCTCTCTCTCTCTCTATCTATCTATCCCCCCCCCCTCTCTCTCTCTCTCTCTGCATGCGTGAACAGTGTACAGTCTTGTACAGTCTGTTTCCTTTTACCTCTTTGCCTCAAATCAGTTGACATGATTTTAAGGCACATGGTCTACAGTACGTATTAAAACAGTGAGATGGCTCAATCACACAAGGACTTAGTAGCCAAACAAGTGTCCTCCTGTAATAAATGAAGTCCCTTTAAGCACAGTCTCGGTCTCAGCACAGGCTTTGTGGAAACCCAGATAGTCTAGTGAGCTTATTCAGACTGATCTTCTCAGCCTTCTCAAAACTTCGCAGTGTGGAAAAAAATGCACGTCACTCCTAAAGAATCTCACATTTTTTTATTTCCCCATGTGAATCTTTCTCGGTTCTGCAGGAAACGAACGCTTCCAAAAGTATTATTTGCATAATAAAGATGCACTTGAAAATACTGGTATTAAATACCAATGATCATCCACTTTAGGGTGATGAATATTTAGGGAAATAATTGTTTACGACGCTCGAGCATTGAGCTGATCTGGTAATCAGGCTATGAAATACAATATTTATTCATTAGAGCGGACTTAATGAGGCCTCGCGGCGCTAATTAGGAAAAGCAGCGTAGCGCTAAATGAGGCTCGCGTTAGCCTACCTGTACGGAGGAGGGGTGTGGGGTATGGGCTTAGGGGGGGTTGGAAGGGTGGGGTAAAAGCTGCCCCCGCCCGGGGTCGCTGCTGCCCACTACTGAGCGCTGCAGAGTTCGTTTATGGCGCTATAACACATTAGTGCAGGACGCAGTGACTGCAGCGCTCATGGCAGCTGTTATAGCTGTGATTGATAATTATGAGGAGCCCTATATTAAGAGAGCCTTTTAATCAGGACTCAGGTTCACACGGGCTTATTTTGCCTGTTGAGTTTAGGACATGAGAGCGATTTGCTTACAGAAACCTCCAGCAGATGAATATTGATTAAATGAGAAAGCAGAAAGCAGGTGGAATAAGAAAGAATAGAATTGTATTTTACCAGACAAGAGGAACAAGAAACTGACCTAGAATAAGAACAATAATAACATAATAACACACACATTATAATATATATATATATATATATATATATATATATATATATATATATATATATATGTGTGTGTGTGTGTGTATTCTTCTTTTTAGATATGGACCATTTTCATTTTAGATATCCCAAGTGATTCTGGAGTATTTCTTTTGGCCCACCATGAAATGGTCACACTATACATTTTAATTATATATATTATATAATTATATATATTTCATATATTTATCTTTAATTGTTATTGTTATACACTCTTTTACTTTATTTATTTATTTTTTTTTATTTGCTTTTGTTATTCTTTAATCTGTATTTTTTTAATTTCATTGCCATGCTGTGCTGTGAATGGTTGAGGGTGGCAGGATTCTTATGTCAGGACTCCCACCGCTCTGGCCTGTGGCTGTGCTCTGATGCCAACAGCAGTTTGGTCCTTGTGTCAGGAGCATTATCAGGAAAAAAATAGCGGCTGCCTGCAGTTGTTCCATCTCACAGGAAATTGCCAACTCACCCTAACAAAGGGAAGCATAAGTGCACTCACAGTGCGGCCCTCAGAGCAAGCAGATAAGATGACATTATAAATAGTGAATTTCTTTCAGAGGAGGGAGAGCAACCAGGCAGCTGAACTTCACCATTCTGTCATTTTCCTCTTTTTTATTTCTGCCTGCCACAATAAGAGTTTTTTGTTCTAAGGATGTTATGAAGAGTTTGAGGACCAGATGTGTACATTGACATACTGGATCAAGTCTTTGTGCATTGGTTTGTCATTTCTCTACACAGAGTCAGTGAGATTATTTGGTCTGAGAGGTTTTTCTGTTTAATCATGATGTTTAAAAATGAGCAGACAGATAGAGGAGAGATTCTTCATCAGCTTTAGCTACTCTGAGCTTCTGGAGTGTGAAATAGCATTATGATCTGATATCCAGTCACTCAGAGGCTTAGACTTTTCCTTAATATTGAGCTTAGAGTATCTCATCTTTTATGCCTCTCTATTCATTGCTGTCTGATAAGATGTGCAGTACTGTTTTGCTCCTGAAGAGGGAGCTCTAATACAGGCATCCTAAGTTCCACTGGGGATGAATGTACCTGGGAGAGAGAGTGAGGCTCGATGGGGCAGCCATTAAAGGTCTTATTGTCTAAATTGGCAGACAATCACTGACCAGGAGTGTTGAGGCCACCAAGGAGGTAAAGAGATTGAAGTGTAGAGATTAAACTATTACGGGCAGATAATACAAAATCCATTAGCTGCTTTAACGCTGAGTTCAACATCAGATTTGAAACAAACCTTAAATAAAATAAGATAAAGAGAGTTTATTTCTGAAAACAAATAGAGAAGATTTGCACTGGGGTCCAACCTTCGTTTTGTGATTAAGTGTGTTTATGGGCATGTGTATATGCAAAACATGTGATTTTCACATTTGACTGTGTACTGTTGCACATAATGGATTATCATTTTATGACATAATTCATGTGCAGAGGCCTGCAAACATGTTCAGACCCTACCGATTATACAAAAATAGGACAAAACATATTTAAACCATAATAATTCCTGATTCAAAATCTGGTGAACAACACAAATGTAAAAATGTGCACTAAACACCAAAATATAAATATATTTGCATTGCATATTCTTGCTGTCCAGTATCTCCATTTTTTTTCGATTTTTTTTCATCATCATTTAAGCACAGCAGCTGTCCTTTATGATGATGATTGGACCAAGAAAAATGCTTCAAAATTGCTTGGAATAAAATCTCTTTACATTAATTTACACTGAAAGTAAATAATGTTTTTGTTCTCTCCTGTAAAGTTGTCATTTTAGAGATACTTGTTTTTCATTGGACACTAGTGACGATATATTATATAGACCCATTTTACACACCCAGTTATAGCTTCAAATCTTTTTGGGTAGCCTATACTAGTTCCACACATTGGCCTGGTGAAATTCTGTTTTGTTCAGCTTTAAAAAGGTTTTTAAAAAATACACTTGCAGTACAGTTATAGGAGGGCTTTCACTTGGCCATTCAAGAACCTTCAGTTTGTTTTTATGAAGCTTGTTCAGTGTAACTTTACCTTGAGCTTTAGAACACTGGCCTGTGTACTTTTGTTAGTATGTGCAATATAAAACAAACTTCTGGGCTCCCTTAAAGTTTTTAGTTAACTGAACTTCTAATAAAAAGTTGATAGATTGCCAGATGCAGGTTATTGTTCTGTTAATTTATTATTAAAAGTTCAATTAACTTAATTTAAAAAAAAGCAGCCCAGTAATGATTTTTAGCTAAAACAATATTTTTTTTAGATTTATGTCTGTGGAATGAAACACATTTTCTTGTAAGATTTTCTGGTATTGAGCTCTGTTCATTTGTTTTTCAGTTGCAGCAAAGCTTTCAGAACTGGCTGCTAAGAAGCAAGCACATAAGTATAATACTGCCACCTCCATGCTTCACTGTAATGATAGAGTGACAGATATGCAGTAAACCTTTCATTTCACGTATAAACCAAAAAGTCCTGTTTGGTCACATTGTTCTCTTATTTTAACACTGTTTACCATGTTTCTGCTGGCCACTCTAAGTGGGCTATGAATCTGCAATTTTAAGCAGTAGTTAGCTAGCCAGAGAGCCCTCTATTCAACATCTGGCTGGGAAATATG